GATATTTCATGCAGCACTTGAGCTGGACTTGAAACAGAGAAGTATGTTCATCAGTTGTCAGCTATTTGGCCTGAGGAATGACACATTTCACGCTCTTTGTCCCCATAGGTGAAAAACCAGGATAATAATAGCCAGTCACCTCTCCCCAGGGTATTGGGAGGGTCAACGTCTGTAAAGGGTGTGGGCCATTTAAAGTAATAAAGAAATGCAAAGTATCATTATTATTAACCTTCCTGTGCCTCAGTTCCCCATTTGTAAACTCTCACCCAGCACATTTTGACTGCAGTTTCCTCAGGGAGCTCTGCCCACGGAGATCTCAGCTGGAGATGAGCTTTCCAGCTGCTGCCACTTGTAAATATGGCCCACTTGCCAAAGATGCTGGGACATGCTGAGATGGACCAGATCAAAATGTGAAGCTGATGATCAGAGTCTTCACAGGGATTTATTTTTTGCTCTGTTATTGCTGAATTCTATTTACTTTTGCAGTGCTCTTCTATTACTTGTCTTCTCTATTTTCCAGTTGGTTTCTTATATGAGGTTCAAAATAAATTTCTTGGAATGTTAAGGGAGTGCCTTGCAGAGGGTGTAATTTCACCCATCTCTGCAGTGACATTTCCCATCCTTCAGGACAGCAGAGGTGAACCTCCTCTTTCAGCAGCACAATTTAAGGTAGGTAACCACCTCTGAGCCACTGAGCTGGAAGTAAAAGAAATGCAAGGCACAGGGAGCAGGCTTCAGGAGACGCAGGCCTGGGGACAAAAAGCTGAGTAGCTGCATGTTGATTTGTGTGTCTTCATTGTGCTGCTGTAAGGAGGTGCTACTTTTCTTCTGCACATTTCCTAAAATATGGTGTTATTGATCTTTGCAGTTGGTTCAAAGCGTGGGGAAAGGTTTTGTGGGTTTCAGGTCTGTTTGTTTATCTGCCTCATCTGAAGGCTGACTGCTCTCTTGCAGTGAAATGAACCCTGTGTCTGGCGAGCCGTGTGTCACTTCAGTTCTTCCCAAAACCTCCTTGCTGTCTTAATCTAGCAAAGTTGTTTTTCTTGAGCTTGGTTTGTTTGTCAAGTGAAGCATCATACATTGCCTGGAGCCAGGATGCAACTCTTGAAACCCAATAGTTTACAAGCTGCTTCTTCAGAAAGCTCCATTTACTTGGGATGAGTTATTCTGAAATAATATTTTCTTTCCTGTTTATTTTTTCTGACAGATCTTCTGCTTTCCCCATGCCCTGTCACATTAAACCATTTATGCACAAAGAAAGCAGTTTGGGTTTGCCCTTGTGACTTTACTGGAACCAGTTGCTTATTCTTATCACGGTTATGCCAGCAAGTACTTCAGCAAAGGAAATTGCAAACTACCCACTGCAGCCACTGCATTACAGTGCACTTACAAGGGAAATCACATCCTAGTTTTAGGTTAATGTTTGGATATATAACTGCTGAAAGCTGAGTTTCATCTTGTGAAATGCTGCAGTGTCCAGAGCAAGGTGCAGGTCTGGAGGAGAGCACCCTCTGTTCAGAGGGAGCTGCCAGCTCTGCAGTGGTCCTTCCACAGAGGCTGGTAAGGGTGGTGTCACCACTGAAAAAACACAAGATGCACTCAGCCAGGGAAGAAAAGCAAATCTTGAAATCCAACCAACTGAGTTTGCCCCCTCTTCATTTCTTCCATGGGCTCACACAAACATTTATTTCTTCTTTTGCAAGGGTGTTTGAACTATTGTCTGAACAATAGTTTCTGTTCACTTTCACAACACTAGAAATTACTGGAACACAATACTTGGTTTGTTTTTATATCCTCTAGATTGCCATATCCAAATGTCTCTTCAATCTATTATATCTTAATATTTAAGCAAAGAATTAGTCATGGAATTTTTTTTTTTAAATTTTTTTTCTTGAAGCCAGTCCCTGTTACTTCACAGCATGGAAACCAAGTGGGAAAGTAATCTATGCAAATTACATGTGCTTTTCTGGTTGAATCACGTTCCCTTCACTCATGGTAATGAGTCACTTGGCATAAAGTGGACTGTTACTATGAATGGAGAAAGCACATCAAGGCTCTGCTTCTCAAGAATTATTTCCACTTGCTGCATCTCATTTTGGCCTGGAACCACAAGTGGTGAGACTCTGCTGTCAGTTTCTCTGTACTTGAGGGACTGTAGTTCCTCAGGTTTTCACTGGTCCCAGATCTTGCTAACTGCAGGTGCTGAGGGTGGTGCCTCATGGGCAGTCAGCAAAGCTGTCTGACACAGTTCCTAAACACTGGCCATGGAGTCCTTTCCTGGAGTAATACTGAGACCAAGCCAACAACTGGCCTCGGTGAAGAGGAAGGCAGAAGTGAGTCCCACCCCACATGTGGTGCCTGAGAAGTGACTGCTCAAAATGCAGCTTGTCTGGCTGAGGAACTGACTCCTGCCAAGCCAGCTGCCATCTCAAAGCTGGTCCTGTTTGTGTCAGACCTCAAGCAGGGTGACCTAAATCAAATTATCACTCTGGAGGATGTTTTTCCTTGTAGTTTTTCCCATATAGTAATTAACCCAATAACCAGATGGTGAGGTCTGGTGCTTAGACTGAAAACACGGGTGCCAGAGAGCTTGGATTTCTTGCTCTCAGTTTCATATAAGCACTACAGCAAAAGCAGCTCCCATGGGCATGACATGTTACACCTCCCCTGACCTTACACAGGCTTACATTGCTTTTTCTTGAATAGAAGATGTAATTCTTATTTATTTATTGTAATGGAAACAGACAACTGACACTGAAGTATTATGACACTGCTGATTGATAGCTGAATGACAAGCTGCAATGTCACTTTCTTACAGGAATAACTATCCTGAATTACAAGGATAGTGAATTGGAACACATCCTTTAGAAAGATGCCTAATCCCATTTTTAAAGCTCTGAGTGATGGTAAGCCTGCTATCTTGTCAAGTAAGGTCTTTAATTGCCCTCACTGTGGGGACAGTGCATCTTATATCAAGTTTGGTTTCAATCTAATGGCATTGGCTTGCCTTGTGACCTTGGAAGAGAAGGGATGGATCAGTTGTTTTAGGCTAAATTGATCCTGGAATTTATGTATTAATACACCCGCTCTGAAGAGCCTCCAGAGTTGTTTTGAACAGGTGAACCCTGAGTGGAGTTTCAAGTTCAGTTCTTAATTTTTGTGTGTGCTTTGTGAGTATCAATTTCCATTATCATTAGCCTGGGGTTTAATCTTTGTTTAAAAAAACAAGCCTGGGCTTGGTCTGTGCAGTGGCAGGTAAGACACTTGATCAAGGATGTGAGTCCTTTCTGCTTCCTGAGCTTTAGGAAGAGCAGTGGGGATGAGCCTCTGTGTACTTGTGAAGCTGTGGTGTCGTGGTGATCACCTGTAAACCCCAAAGACAATGAATGCCACAGTTATGGTTTCACTGCAGCACCACACTGGTTGGAATACCCCATGAGAAGAAACAAGTACAGTCTGAGTGACAGCCCAGGTGAACTGTCACACATCTGTCATCAGAGTAGCATTTAATTAATTAGGAGATAAATGGTGATGCCATTAGGAGTGTATTGAGACCAGTGAGAAATGTTCCAGTGTTGATAGAAATCACATAAAATAGCAGTCACTGAAACAGCTTCTCAGGTCTACATGTTTTTGACATGTTACTTAACATTGGGGAGCCCCTCAGCTTTAAAGAAGCATCTCTCTACCCTGATCTAGACAAATTACTTTTGTACCTTGATCTAAACAAACTCTGATCTCTTTGCTGCCATTGAACTCACCTTGTCTGAAACCTAATCTGACTACTTTATTCTACCTCTGTACTGGGAATTCACTCTATCATTAGCATTTCAATCTATTTAATTCACTGAGGGTCGCTGAGCAATGTAACCGAATCCATGCTAAGCTACCACTGGCAATTTAGCTGTCAGATAGTCTCACCTTCTATTTTTAGTTGCACTCAAACTCCTTGCTTAAGGGGGTGCACACTGAATTTCTGGATTAGCTTCCCCCTGACCCCTCTCTTGTATCAGTGCCAGTCATGTTTAGGTTAGAGCCCTGTTTACATTGTTCTGTTACTCTAATTGCAGCTTGTCCAAGGTATGGACAGTATTCTGGGAGACTCTGTTGACAAGCCAGTAACTCTGGGATTAAGCCCTGGCATTTAGAGCTGACAGAAGTCTGTATTAGTGCAGTGAAGAAAGTCTTTGCTAGGGACACTGGTTAAACTGCAAAGCCAAACCTCCAGAATCTTATAACCTAATTCCTTAGGCTGGATGGGCAGTCTCACCTTTGGCTCTCCATAAGGCATTCTGTAGTGCCAGATGCTTACACTTGGGTAGGGCAGGAATAGCATTGCCAAGGTTCATACCTTCAGAGATAGGAGGTTAGGATAAGGCATGCAGCTGCACTATTTCTTTTCTAAAGAATTATTTCAAGCAGCTGTGCTCCCTGGCCTTCTGTGTCTTTTCAGTTATTTTCTCTTGCACAGATTCCACTACACCTTATTTTTGTATTTATTTTCTCCTGGCACAGCTGTCTCCCCAAGCTCTGTGTTCTAATGACCTTCTTAGCAAGTACACATGCTGTGGTGTATATTTAGTTTTGAACCAGCTTGTGGCTCTTCTTAGGTGCAATTCAGGGCAGGAAGCAATTTGTTCCTGTTAACAGAACTGTGTACACATCCATGCTCTGCCTGTGTTAGTTAAACTTTGGTTGCTTGTTGAACTTGCTTTAGCTCTGTATTCCAGTAACTTTGAAGTCTAATTTAAAGATTAAGCAATTAATGTGTATATTAAGCTTTAAAGAAACATATCTCTACCCTGAACTAGACAAATTACTTTTGAACTTCAATCTAAACAAACTCTGATCTCTTTGCTGCCCTTCCAATGTACAATAAATGTGTATATAGGCAGAAAGCAGGCTTTATTGGGAGGAAAACAAGCTTGGGCATTTAAGTTGTAAAATTCTTGATCTGTCCTGTAACTTTGTGGTCAATTCACTTCTCTTACTTCCTTCAGGCTTCAGCTGCCATGCAGCCTCCGAGTCCTGGTGCTGTTTCCTGTGATAGACGCCCAGTGCATGCACCAGTGAGTCCTGCTGAGGGCTGGGCTGCTGTGTGAGGCTCCTCTGGGGGCTGATGCTCAGAGGTGAGTGATACCAGACTGCCCTGCTTCCTCTGATCCCAGCTCTACCTGACACCAAATAAATATTTTCCTGTGCAAAGGCGAGTAAAAAGCTGTGGCTGCTCCCCAGGAGGGTCATGGCTGGGGATGAAACTGGAATGTTCATTGGGAGCCTCAGTAATATCCAATTCAGATTGCTGATGAATACATCCTGACTTTGGGCACATACCTCCTGTTAATACTAATGGGAATGTCACACATGAATGCTGGAGAATATTGCCCATTATTTTTGGTCTCAGAGCTCTGAGCCGAGAGATTCCCAGAGAAAAATGGCCATTTGCTGTATGTTGCAGGCTGCAATTCATTATATACAGTGCTTGGTGACTGTTATTTACCTTACAGAACTGTAATGTGATAAGGAGTCTATGTAAGCCACTTAATGGTCTGTCTACCTTAAAGAAAATGTGTACCTGATCAGCCTCTGATTTATGCCACTTTCACCCCAGTGCAACTCTATTGGCTCCACTGGTGTTACCCCTGATTTATGCCAGTCTTAGTTGGACTTCATGAGTTTATGTACTTTATATGACTCATGTACACGAGGAGAAATGTAGTCTAATAAAATATCTGGCTGTGCATTGCAGCTGCAGGTTCTTTGCAGAACTGTTAACAGGAGTTCCACAAAGCCATGCTCTGCTCCTCTGCAGAACATATATATTTCAAGGGGTTATATCCCATATCTATAGAGATATAACTTAATGGTCTCATATTTGACTAATGTGCTGCCTCACTGGCACAGTGCAGAGTTAGAGCAAGGCAGCAGGCAGGCTAAACCTGTAGAATGAGAATAAGAACTTGAAACTTGACTGTGGGCTTTTTTTTTTCACTTGGTAGCTCAAGTTCTTTGCCTGGAAACAAAGAACTTCCCACAGATTGCATCCCTTCACTCTGAAAGCAACTGTTCTTATCTCAGTCATCTTGCTGCTTCAGCACTTATCCTCTGGCTTTGGGGTAGGAAAAGAGTGATTTTATGATGTTTATATTGCAGTAGCAGCCAGGACACGTAGTCTTAGGTGCTGGACTCCTTGTTCTAAAAACTGTGTAAACAGACCAGGGAACTGCTCTCTGGCTCAACGATTCTGTGCTCCTCTTAATGAGGGCTTCTCTGATCACCATGGCAGCTTTTATCACCTGGCCTTGTCTGCAAGGAAAGTGATCATTCCTCTAATCTCGGGAGCTGGGGATGATCCTTCACCAGTCTGAGCTCTGCTGAAGTTGTTGGGGTGACAGCTATTATCTCTGCTGGATTCCAGGCCAGCTCACCTTCTCTGGTACTCCTGGCTCCTGACGGCCAGAGCTGACACCTGAGCCTGCTCTGTAGCTGATCCTTGTTTCCTTCACCATTTGCCTTTTAAAGTTTGCCCGCGCTCCTGTTAAGCTCTCAGACACATCTTCATCTAATGAAAATAAGTGACAGGTACACTCAGGTGTCAGGTGTAAAATACAGAGGTTGGGTGAATTTCTCAGGGAAAATGCCAAAAACTCTTTGAAATTAATTCTGTACTGCAGGGACAGCCTGACACCTACCTAAACCCCAGAAAGGTGCATTTTGGAGACACTACTAATCCTAAACTTGTTTCCTAGTCCGCACAGGTTTGTAGACAACTTTTGCCAAGTGGTATGATGGTAAATTGAGAAACCTTCAGATTTTGCTGCAGTATTTCACCAACTCTATTGACTTGTTCCATTAAAAGAAAAAGAAATAATTAAAGCTGCTAAGTTCCTAAAATGGAAAGTGCATCTTTCTTGGCATTGTAAAGCAGCAAGATGAAGGCTTGCTCTGCCTGTACATAGCTGTAATTTATGTTTATGCTCTCATAAGGGGTCTGCATGTGCCTAAGTCACATTAACATTAATAGGAGCTGAATGCAAGCAGGGAGGTTTAGCTAGAATATTGGGAAACATTTCTTCACCAAAAGGGTTGTCGCTGTCAGGAATTGGAACAGGCTGCCCTGGGAGGCAGTGGAGTCACCACCACTGGAGGGATTTAAAAGATGTGTAAATGGCTTAAGGACATGGCTTAGTAGTGGCCTTGGCAGTGGGTTGGACCCGATGATATTACAAGTGTTTTCTAACCTAAACAATTCTATGATTTGCTGATGCTGAATTCCCTGAATGCTGCCTTGAGTTCTAAAGCCCAGACTGGGTCCCTGCCTCAGCTGATCAGTGCCTCACCACCCAGAGCTGCTCCCCTCCCTTCTGGCCACACAACAGCCAAAGAAGGTTTTTTCCAGGGCTGGAGCACTACAGTCACCCTCCTGTTACGCAGGCTGGGGCTGTGCACAGGGGTGGCTGCTGGGAGGTGTCCAGCTGCCTTGCAAAAAAGCACCACAGGAAGGAGATTCATCAGCAAGGGATGTTTTCTGCTTAGCTCACACTGTAATGAGCCCAAGTCCCTGGGTGGAGAAAAGAGAGGTGACAGGAGGAGATGGGGAGTCGGGAGGGGAACAACTTGTTTCAGGCAACAAATCAGTTGCTAACTCTGATCCAAAGCCATTTGCATCGATGATGTTGGCCCACCGTGTGTTGGAAATATAAGGCACTCTGTAGACAGCTGCCCAAGGGAATGCTAATTAGCTGCCAGGCAATTAATAATTAATCAGACTTTTGTTCATTGTGAAGACAGTGTTTTCTTTGGCAGCTTCATAGTGTTCTGAGTTTGCCTTGCTTTTCTTTCACAGGCTGATATCATCGTGCTGGAACCAGGCTTTGTGGCGACATGCCTCTCCCTCCCTCCGGCATCCAGCTCGCCCTGGCCACATGTGCAGCCCAGGCCACGACCTCGGCCTTGGCTGGGCTCTGACGCCCATTTAACAGTCAGAGGCTGGAAAGGGAGTTGCTGCTGTGCTATTTTTAACCAGCTGGACAGTTAAATAATTCAGAGGCAGACACACACAGAGTGGTCTGGGCTGTGTGTGGATCTGAGAGGGAACAAGAGCATTGTATCGACCCTGCTGGGCTTGCTTAACCTCATCAAGCATGGGTTCTCAGGCTCTTTAATACAAACATGAAACAAAAACTAAACTTTCAGAAGTAAAATCCCTGCCTTACTGGTGTCAATGGGACTCCTGGCTCTGACTGCAATGGAGCCTGGATCACACTTAGCTGCAAGGCAAGAGCTGTTCAGTATTTCCTTGCTTTCTAATGCTGCATAATTTTTTTTTCCATGACAATAAAACCCACTTATGGTGAGTAGAGTCCAGAATGGGAAATGTCAAAATTTCTGGGGGAAAAAAGGATTACTTTTAAGAAATCTCTTTTCAAACAGAATGTCCCATGTGTGGCTACTCCCCTTGATTTTGGACTAAGAAGAGATGTACAGGAAAATATTTTTTCTCATCTCTCTAGCCCAGTGCCCTCCCCAGCTGTCCTGTGGAGTGGTCCACAGCTCAGTGGAAAGCTGACCCTCTCAGGGCTGCCAGGGAGAGCACAAGACCTGCCAGCAAACCTGCTCCAGTGCAGAATTCCCACAAGGTCATAGCCTTATTCAGGCATCCCCCTGCTCCAGTGTGGGGTCTTCCCCAGGCTACAGGTGAGTATCTGCTCCACCATGGAGCTTTATGTGCTGCACATGAACAGCCTGCCTCACCACGGCCATCATTCATTATGGGATGCAGGGGAATTGCTACTCTGGTGCCTGGAGCACCTCCTCCCTCTTCCCTGACCTTGGTACCTACAGGGCTGTTTTTCTTGCTTCTTTCTCCAGCTGCAGTTGCACAGGCAGCCCCGCTCCCCACGCTCTCCCCAGCACCCCTTTTTAAATCCCTTCTGATTTAAAGAACGGATTTACCACTGCTGCTGATGAGCTGGGTCTTGGCCAGCCCTGGCTGCGTCTTGGAGCCAGCTGGCTCTGACACTGTTGGACAGGGGGAGCTTCTGCCAGCTCCTCACAGAAGCCACCTCTGTAGCCCCTCCTGCCACCAAAACCTTGTCATGCAAACCCAGTACACTTGTCCATCAAACAAAAGGCACAAACTCAGTCTTTCAGCACGAGGGAATCCGCAGAGGAGCTCAACTTTGAAAGACAAATGTGCAGCAAACCAGGCTTCACTGATCCTGCTGTTAATAGGGCTGCTTGTTTCCTTTGATTCCTGTGTGTTAGCTCAGCTGTGTTTTGGGACTGAACAAGATCTTTCCACTAGTTCAATTTCAAACACGTGGTAAATGACTCTGTGCCTGGAGCACCCAAGGTTCCCGGGTGGTCTCTGTGCAGAGACCAGAGTTGTTCCTGCTGCCGAGATCAGGCAAACCACAGCTCCCTGTTCCAGCACAACCAGCGCCCAGCAGAGCCCGGCTGATGAGGAGAGGAGCAGGAGGAGGCTGTGAGTCCCTCGTGCATTCCACACTTAAGGTTCTGCCGGTGTCTCCACGACCCAAATCATCACGACATTTGCTAGCTCAGGCGTGTGAAGTCTTGTTAGAAGAATGTGGCTCGTGATGATGCTCGGTGGCTCGAATGAATAATTTGTGGCCAGGGTGACTCAGGCAGAGCGGGCTGGCAGCCAGGAGCCGGGCAGAGGAGCCAGGGGCTCGGCTGCACGTCTGGACAGCGTGTGCTGGGAGCACGGCGCGTTTGAAAGGCCAGCTGTAACCCGTGTGAGGCCCAAGTGTGCCTGAGAACCCATTAGAATACCAGCAAGGAAAAGAAATTTGGCCTCAGAGGTGTGTTTTTCTAGCCAAAAAAGTATAGTGGGTGGGAAGGCTGGACATCCAGAGTTCACGTTTGCAAATGGAAGTGATAGTGCACTTGGAAAATGTGACTTTGGGTTTACCCAATCCCATTTCTTTTTTTCTACAACTGAGCAATGCCTGCCTGTCCTTCCTTCTGAGCTTCAAGAAGAGCTTTGGGAGGCAAAAGCCCTGCCTGTTTGACAATGCATGCAAAATAGAATGCTATGCCCTGTATAGTGCAGAAGTTCAATTTTCAGATAATACAGAATTGGGATGTCTTATCTAATACTGCTGGCAGGATCTCCTGAGAGTCTGCACAGCAGAATTTACCTGCTTAGTATGGTGAATTTAAATCACCAGGGCCACGCTGGCAAAACTCTCCAGTGCAGAACCTCATTCTGGTCTAAAGTCCTAGAGTAATTATTCTGTAATAAAGTCACTTAAATTTTAGAATAGAGTGTCCATATGGAGAAGTTACACTGGCATAGCTATAACAGGATAATTATTTTGTTATAGCTATGTCAGTCAATTTCTCAAGGCATCAGTCACATGGGAAAGTTGAAATGATGTATTTTTTCTAGTCTACAGCAATTCTTTTTTTTTTTAATGTCCATTAGTGCTTGACTAATGCTGAATGATAGTGGAAATTCTCCAGAACAAAGACAGTGCTCAGAGTTTCCTTGTGGTTATCAAAAGAATTTGGATCTATTCTGGTAAAACTAATATGTAATGAATTGGCAGTGATTAGGGCTTTATAGCTGAATTTACTGGGAATTATGAAACCGCAGTTTACTAAATTCAACTGAAACAGCTGAAACTCAGAAATTTGAAAAGTCCCAATTTATGTGTTGAGTTCTCAAGATTTTTTAAGAGTACACACAAATCCAGATTAAGATACAAAATTTTCTCATTCCCACACAATGTTGGAAGTTTCATATTTCAACACTGGACTTTATAACTAATCATACCACTTTTGGGGGTGTCTGAGTAAGTTGTTGTGAGGTCTATTCATTATGGTTCACTATTAACTGTGGTGAAGATAGTCCTTTAGGATCAAAGTGTACATGTCAAAGGACAATGGCATATATGAGCTTTCTATGGAGGTATGCCAGAGCTAGCTTGGGTCTGGAATTAAAGCATAGCAGGAATTAGGAGCCTGGCTCAGAGCTGCCTGTTGAAATGCTAGATGGAGCAAACAGGTGCCAACTGAATTTGTTGCAGTCACATTTGAATCTGAGTTAAAGAGTTACCAGAACAGGGAAGGCAAAGAATCTCATTGCACATGAATGCACTGTGTAGTTCCTGCACGCCAGGCTGGGCACACAGCAAGCTGCCTGGGGAGCTGGGGCACAGGGAAGCAGACCTGATATGTACTTAATAGAAAGCATGACTCAAAATGAAACCTGCCGATGGCTGTCAGCTGTCTTACAGCAAAATGTTACCTAATTACATGAACTACATCTCCCTTCCTGGAAAAGGGGCTGGGTTTGAGGTGGAGAATGCCAGCTGGGATGTACACAAGGGCAAGGACAGAGCGTGGTCCGTAGGGCCACACCTGCAGGCACATTTGGGTACCTGGATGGCTTCTTGGTCCCATCGCTGTCTCCTTGGGCACAGCCCATTCATACCAAAGATGTTCCCCTGTCACCCTCTCCCAGTACCACCATGCCAGAAGGTTACTCAGCACTTCTTGTTGTCACACAAACCCTTTACTCAGGTAGAGTAAACCACCTCATTTTGATTTCAGTTTATCTTCATACATTCACCTCTTTGGTTATCTGAATTTGGATTTTTTTAGGTTGGGGGAAGGAGGCCCATTTTGCACAGGGCACAAGGATAAAAAAGGAGATCTGTTTCCAGGGCTGCAAAACAAAGGCCTAATCATGTTTTAGAATAACTGGAATTATAAACTGATGGGGCATTTAAAATGTTATCTAGTTCCAAACATCAAATGTTCAAACTCAGCCTTGAGGGGACATTAGCTGATTATCAAATCACAATGAGATTCTTATAACTTTATTTTAATAAACAGTTTTCATAAATGTTAACATTTTAATGGATGATTACATTCATATTTAGCTAGCAGATGCATTCATGTTGATTGATGTTATTTCCACGAGTACCAAAGGAATTAAATAATGACTTGTCACTTATGGCAAAGAGCTGCTCTAATATTTTTTAAATAAACAACGTTATTTGCGGTGTTGATCGGATGGCGGTGCTAGGGCCAGCTGTGCTTTCGGGGGGGGACCCCGATCTGCCGGGCAGCTCCCAACAGAGCGGGCAGACCCTACAGCGATACCCCAAACACGGGGACCCGCGGGGAGCGGGGGAACCTCCTCCTGCCCTTCAGAGGCCGCCGTGTCCCCCGGCCCGGCCACGGCGGAGGGCCCGGCCCAGCCGGAG